ACCTAAAGAATTAGAGTACATTAGACTTACAGGAAATTTTGAGTGTTGAATTTTAGAATACAAAACTTTGTAATTTTGTACAAAGCTATACTGAGAAGTAATGGATTTCAGATGGTAGTGTTTGAGATCAGTTCCATGGGATGTCACTGAGGAATCGATCAGTCCACATGTGGAAACAAGATCACATGTTTCCACAAAGAGCAGAGAACTGTGTATCACATATTGACTAACCATCACAGCTACTGCTGACTTTGTTTTAAAGGGTTCATGATGTAGAAAAACAAAACAGCAGTTGAGCATGACTCAGCCAATAGGCGTCTGTGAGTGTCCACAAGGAGCAAGGTGCTAGTCTGAGGAACACTCAGTAAAACCTCCCATTCCTAGAAATAATAGATGGGGTTTTCTTGCTTAGTAGACACACATATAACCTGCATATTTGTGGCATATTTGGAGTTAAAACAATCATATTACAAACAGCATATACAATAGGATCCATTTTGTGGAGATAAAAATTGTATACGTGATACAACAAAATACAAACAAAGGGTATCTCTGGATAGTGATTTTTTGTTTATATCTTCTAATTATTCAGTAATAAACTTTTTTCATGTAATTTTAAATTTCTTAAAAAAATTTAAAGAAAGGACAACCAAGTCATTCTACAAACCTAAAAATAAGGATATGTGACCTGGAACTACTGTAGGAAATGTTAGTATAATTGAAGGACTAAGAGACTGAAAATAGTGAGAATAAATTTGAAGTCCACACATCTGTGTTTAAATATTTGACGATCTTATTGTTTCTCATTCTGTCTGCAAAGAGGAAAAATTGTTCTGTTTCCTGTCTCATTTTACAACAATCGGGACCACTGGCTCCTAACTGCTCACCTGCATGCCTGCCTGATCACCCCTAACTGCCCCCCCCTCGCCAGCCTGATCACCCATAACGCCTCTGCCTGCTGTCCTGATCGCCCCTAACTGCCCCCCCCCCTGGCATGGTTGCCCTCAATTTCCCCCCTGCTGGCCTGGTTGCCCCTCACTGCCCCCCACTGGCCTGATTGCCACTAACTGCCCCCCTCCCTGCCAGCCTGGTTACCCCTCACTGCCTCCCACCCCCTGCTGGTCTGGTTGCCCCACACAGCCTGTTTAGTCATTTGGTCATCCCTCACCTACCCTCCTACCAGCCTGGTCAGCCCTCACTGCCCCCCGCAACCCCCCCGCCAGCCTGGTTGCCCCATGCTGCCTGCTGTTCAGTTGTTTGGTCATACCTCACTAACTCCCCTGATGGCCTTCTTGCCTCATGCAGCTTGTTAGTTGTTACTGTGAGGTTGTCCTGACCAATTTGCATATCACCCTTTTATTAGTATAGATAAGTTTAAGTTTTATGGAAGAGGAAGGGCAGGATGCTAAACATTCATCAAACATATCCTGCACAGAACCATCCATGAAGATATCCCTGAGAGATTTTTAATCTGGCTCTTAACAATGAGTACAAATTGATTAAGGCAATAATGGTGGTGGGAGAATGAAAAAGGGACTTTGGGGAAGATGGACTACTAAGTTCAAGATATCTTAGGCAGTGAAGAGAGTTAAAAACTGAAAGAGAGAAAATGAAGCTTGAGTATGGTGAAGAGGGGATAATAGCTTATTAGGCTGTGCTAAATTTCGATATAATCCTAAAAACAATGGAAAGCACCGAAACCGGTTTGGCTCAGCGGATAGAGCGTTAGTCTGTAGACTGAAAGGTCCCAGGTTCAATCCGGTCAAGGGCATGTACATTGGTTGCAGGCACATCCCCAGTAGGGGTTGTGCAGGAGGCAGCTGGTCGATGTTTTTAGCTCTCTATCCCTCTCCCTTCATCTCTGTAAAAAATCAATAAAATATATTTTTAAAAAGAAGAAGAAGAAGAAGAAGAAGAAGAAGAAGAAGAAGAAGAAGAAGAAGAAGAATGGAAAGCTCTTTAGCCAGCAAATGAAGGCACCTCACTTTTTATTCAAATAGTAAATACATTAAAATCATCTTATCTCTTGATCAGCATTGGAACATAGAATTCCAGAAGTGTTAGAAAATGTGTTTTCTAATATACATAAGGCGGGGAGGGGGAATCAACAGAGGATTGAAGTCTACTGGAGGTGTCTTAATTAACTGGTATAACTGTTTTACTAAGTTGACATGTACAAAATATATTCTTATCTCTTTTATTATTCCAGTTCACTTTGGAGCCCCCTTTGTTTCTGGTTTGCCAGAATTTTATCTTTCTGGAAGCGTTTCCCACTCCACAATTTATCCAAGAATACTAGGGACTTAATCTAGTCCAAAGTGTTTAAGTCCAGCTTCTAAACCTCCAAATAAGGAGGTGCTGGAGCTGGTCTATCCATGTCTGTCACATGGTAACACTGTTGAGGAGGGCCCTGCACAGATGAGCAGACTATTTGTGCTCTCTCAATGCTTAGCCCAGGCTCTGGGATGCCCAGACTGTGTGCCAGTGCTATGGTTATTATTATGATGTCTTTACTACTTACCATGAAACATTTCAAATGTACTGTGTAACAAAATATAGTGTGTCCGTCACCCAGTTCAGCAATTTTCAGCTCATGGACAATCTTTCATTTATACTCTTCCCTATTTAACCTATTTATCCTCCATCTCCCCATGTTTTAAAGGAAATCCCAGATATCATATCATATCATTTCATTTGTAGTAATATTTATAGCAACAAAAGCTAAGGACTATTAAAAAAGAAAACTTAAACCCAATTATCACACTTGAAATATAAGTCCTTTATGTCATCAGATATCCAGTGTTCAAACTTCCCAATTGTCTCAAAATTGTTTCTTATTATTTATTTTTTATTGTGTGTTTGTTCAAATCAGAATTCAAATAAAGTCCATGCATTGCAACAAGTCTCTCAAGTCTATAAATTCCCTCTTTACCTCTCTTTTTCATCCCTTGCCATATATAATTTTAAATAAATAGTAAATAAATAAATTAAATAAATACTGTTTTTATATTGTCTGGATTTTGCTGATTGCATTCCAATAGTGTCATTCACCATGGTCTTTGTTCCTCCTATATTGTTGGGAAATTAGTAGATGCTTGATTAGATTCAGGTTGGATTACGTGGGGGATTTTTTGGTACAATACCGGATGGATCGTCTTATGTTTTTCCACCAAAAATATTAAATATCTTGATTGTATATTTTTGAGATGTTAGCAGTTATGCATGATCGTTGCTTGGATTCATACTTTAAATATGGTTTGAAAAATAGTAATGGTCTTTATCTTCTTTAGTCATTGGCTAGAACTTATCTACAAGGAAAAAAATCTCCACTCCTTAAATATTTGGTTAACCTGAGATTCATTTGTAGAAAAGTCAGAGTAAGTACTTACTTCTTTTTCTTTACCAGATTTTAAGATAACACCCTGCAGTGACAATTTAAAAATGAAAAAAAGTATTATTTATAATTATGAACTAATGGATTTAGACATTTATTGTGTTTCAGTATGTTGAAGTTATTGTCTGTATTGATGATCAAGCTATCTTATCTTTGTTTCCTGATTCCTGACATGGCCCTAAGGATTTTTAATAACTTTCTGGGTCCCTGCTTTGACAAAATGTTCCAGGCTTATCTTATAAATTTCCTGCCTTGCATCTAGAATAAACCATCTCCTCAAGGAGCCCTGATTATGTTTATTAAAAACTGGTATCTTTAGACAACAGTCTCTAGGCACTGGGATTCTCATTACCACTGGGTTGTTCATTGTTTCTTGCTACTTCAGTAGACATAAATAGAACATATATATATATATATATATATATATATATATATATATATATATTATATATAATTCCATGAGTTCATATTATTTTCCACTCAAATTCAGAATTACAGAGTGGTTTTTTTTGTTTGTTTGTTTTTAACTTAAACATTGTTGAACTTATATCTTTATCTTCCCACTCCAATGCTGACATTCCTAGTTCTCAGTGACAGCAACATAATTAATTACTCATTTGCTTTACTCCATAATATATGCAAATGGCCCCAGAATAGCACACCAACATCTGAAGATGGAGAGTCCTGGTAATGGAAATAATTGTAAAAGCCTTAAGACAGAATCAAAACGGGTGGGACTAGAGTCGTTAACAATGAGCAGAGTGCTGATGGGAGACACAGTTTTAAAGCAGGTAGGGACAGCTTGTACTTTTTTGTATTTTATAGCTCTGCTTGGATGCCTACTTTGCATCTCAAACAACATAGGGCTGTGCTGTGAGCCTCATGCTTCTGGGATGTTCTAACCCCCCAGAGGGTCCAGGCACCCCCAAAGTACAAGTTAGCACTTAGGAAAGCTGTGTGAGAATTTTGGGGCATAACCAGCCAAACTTGGTGATGAATCAGTCTTTGAGGTACAGACTTACCCTCTAAGGATGGGGAATTTATCTTAGAAGTGATTTGTTCTAAAATGTTGTACAATTATCAGTGTATCTGTGTTAAGTAAACTATCAGGGACCTAAAGCAGGAAACAGCCCTAGTTTCAGTCTTAGTTTTAAGGACTCGAGAGAAAGCAACACAGTATCCCCTTGAGACAATTAATGTAACATGCCACAGTCAAATAATAATGTTATTGCTAGGTCTTCAATATCTAACTGAAATGACAGACGTGTGGAGGAAAAAACTTCATCTTAATTTAGTACACAGCAAATACGATTTCCTTCGAAAATAAAAAACTGTTGCAATATCTGAATTAATTAAAAATAGCATTTAAAAGATTTATTGAAGTTTATGAGCACAATACATACTGACCCAGAAAACTGGATATGCCAGGATCTCATGAGGAAGATTTATATTTATTGCATATATTAATTACAGTTTGAGGAATATAATTACCACTTTCTGAAGAAAGATTCAGATTTGTAAGTCAAGTTAATTTATACTTCTTTGGGTAAATAAATGTTTAATATGATAGAAAATCTAACCTAGTCCGTTGTTTTTTATTTCCGACTCTGACCCTAACTCATAATGTCAAATTGAGCAGTCATTTATATTCTTTTTTTTTTTCTTTTCCAATTTTTCCATCTGCAAAATGAGGAACTGCATTCTCTCAAGGGAATACTGTGTTGCTTTCTCTCGAGTCCTTAAAACTAAGACTGAAACTAGGGCTGTTTCCTGCTTATATGACTTATGATCCAAGAGGTTTTCAAGGACGACACACCCTAAAATCTCTCTCCTGTTACCACTGGTATCATTTCCAGAGACTCAAAGGAAATAAGTTATGTGAAGATTTCACATATTGGATCACTGCAACCTACTCTTATTGATCAAGAAACAGTTTGATCGAGGTGACTGATACAGTGGAAACCCATAATCTCAACCAGAGAACAGCAAACGTACACTGGCACCTGTGATGTACACAGTAAAAGGGAAAATAATTTCTGGAGGCACACTTCACCCATTTAACAATTTTATTCAAAGATGTTCATGCTTGAAATTTGAGCCTGAACCCTCCACTTGACCAAATAGGGGGGCGGGCGGGCGGGGGGGGGGAACACCCACAAAACACCATTTATGGAGTCTCTTCTATGTGCCAGTCACCATGCCAAGTTCTGAGGAATTAAAGAAAAAAATGCAATAACGAAGACAAACAAGATCTAGGATTTGCCCATGAAGAACTCATAACATGATACAATATGCAACTTTGGAACATTCAAGAAAGAATATTCTGCTTGTTTACCTGAGATCACTTGTATATTCTACTTATCCATGCATTGGATAAAAAACAGTTTGATTAAGTTCGCATCTATTAGGGAAAAATAAAGGTACATTTTCAAAAGCATTTTCCAATCTAGCTAAGACTTGGCAGTTCTTTGGGGGGGGAATCCTGGGAATATCCTTAGCAGTGTTGTATTATCAAAGCACAATTTTGCCACAAAATGTGAAAATGTGCTCAATTGGTTTTGTATTTGATAAACAGCACAACATGACAATAAGCAAAGAATAGGCCTGCCTTACCTGCTTTAGCCAAAGACAAAACTGGTTCCAGCTCGATGCAGCCTCAGAGCTGGGAAAGAGGCACTAGGTCTGCGGAGAAGTCGCTCACGGGACCCAGAACCCCTGCCCCGTGGATGCAGAAGCCACGAGCTAAGTGGTCTAATGCCCAGAGCTGTTTTCTTTGCTTCTGTTGCTCCTGTTAGAACGAGTTGCTCTTACATAGGCAGACAGAGTCACTCATCTTGCCGACACAAATATTCTTTGAAGAGATTATTGGCTATCATGTGCAATGCGTGGATAAGTAGAATATACAAGTCTACTCTAGATCAAGTAGAATCAATATTTAAGTTTTGATTTATATGTGTTTTGCTTTTTTGTAATCTTGTAGACTGTGGATCATGTGAAATTGCATTTTGAGAGAAACTTAAAACATAATCTGACTAGAACTAAGAAGCTGATTCTTAAAAAATTCAATTAATTCTTTAATCAGAAATCGAGGGGGGGCGGGGAAGGCTAACTCAAAAACATGGTTCCCTAAGTAATATCAACATTGTTGAGAGGATGGTTTCTTGAGCAATTCACAGGCAGATAAACTCAATTTCTAAGGCTGATATGTCTCAAAAAAGTCTTTTCTATACAGATCCTTGTCAGCCCGGAGGCTTTCTTAGGATGAGGTGGAAGAAAAGATGAAAATAATAAGTGAGGCAGTCTCCTGGGATTGTTAGTTTTTCTTGGTTCCTGCTTGATCGGAAACCTCAGAGGGGCCCCCTTCCTAACGTTATTTCAGTATAAGTATTTCCATGTGCAGTTCCAGCTGGAAGCAGGCACTGCGGACCATGTGAAAAGTCAGCAAGTACACACAAAATTAGCCCTCAGCTTTTGGACCTTTAAAAGGCTTGGGTCAGGGCTGAGTTTATTCAGAATGACTTACAAGTCCCTAAAGATCAACAGTATCACTCTCCTGACAGGGTGTCCTTAGCCCCAAACTCCCATTTTTCACATTCAAACACAGCCTCCTGCTCGCTCTCGCTCTCTCTCTCTCTCTCTCTCTCTCTCTCTCTCTCTTTCTCTTGTCTTTGACCCATTGATTCCCCAGAGCAAAGGACCATTAAGGATATATTATAGATAAATTTTAAATTTTAAATAAATGCAAAATAAGAAATACAAAAGTCTAGAGAAACCATTCCATGGTAATATCTGGTATTGGAGCCCCAGGTCCCTTGGATAATTTGGGTAAGGGGAGAGTAGGTAAGAAGAATAAGAACCCTTATTGGTTCCATTTGGACTGAGAAAAATCAAAGCAAGCAGTTACTGAAAATTTCATAAAACCATCTTTTAGTATTAGTCATCATGACAAAATGTATTTGTAGCCCTCAACTTTCCAACAGGCTGTTTTTCCAAAAGTCGTTTGTATGTTGTTTCTCTGGATCTGAAAAGCCCTTTTCCTCTTATAAACAACGTTTTGAATTAGTAGCTCTTTGGCTTTTTGTGTCATGAACTCCTTGGAGAATTTATTAATAGTTGTGGACACACTTCCTAGAAAAATTCTCATATGCATAGATGCCCTAGTTTTTCAGACAGATTTAGAGGCTTCACAGGTCTACTGGAGCCATTTCCTAATTAAGAACTTTTGTCCTTAAGTCTCAGGCTAAATTCCATAGCCACAGAATGAATTAAGTAGATATTTACACTCCAGTCTGGAGGTGGAGCCACCATTTATAACAACAATTAAACAACAGCCTTGTAATTATGCCTCTGGACAGTAGCACCACGGAATTTCATGTTACCATCCCTGAAAGCCCTCCAGTTCCATTTGAAGCAGAATTTCCTCTGTACACAGAAAGAAGGCAATAACATGTTTGGACAAATGAGATGTATCTGCTCCTGCGGTGTCATTTGGAATACAATAGTTTCACTTCTCAAAAAAACCCTCTGTATCCATCTAATCATTCCTCCCTCCTCACCAACCCCTGGCAACCACTAATCTTACTGTCTATAAACTATGGTTTTGCCTTTTCTAGAATGTCTTAGAGTTGAAACCATACAATATGCAGTCTTTTAAAATTGGCTTCTTTCACTTAATAACATGTCATTACATTTCCTTGTGAAAGGCACAGCACCAAGAGAGAGCACTAATGTAAATTATGGACTTTGGGTGATGATGTGTCTAGTAACTTCATTAATTGTAATAAATGTATACCTCTCTAGTGGAGGGCGTTGGTGGTGGAGGAGACTCTGTGTGTGGGGGGGTCAGGAGGCATGTGAGAAATTTCTGTACTTTCTGTTCAATTTTTTTTCTGTGAACCTAAAACTGCTTAATAAATAAAATCTATTAAGAACTTTTTTTTTCTTTCTTTTTTTTTAAATCTTTATTGTTCATATTATTACAGATGTTCCTCTCCCCCAATGGGCCTGGAACTGGGGTTCAGTTCAGTTGGAATTAGAGTTGGAAGTGGCATTCAGAGCAGTCTGGAGCCCCTGTCTCCTTCTCGCCAGGGCAGTCCTGCAGCACAGCCAACAGTCCCTTCTCTGCGGGCAATATGCGTGCCAACTGGGACCTCCTTTCGCCACTCCCCTGGGGTTCTGCTGTACAGCCCAGCTTCCTCTGGATGAGCCTGGATCCCCGGGGTCTGGCCCAGAACTGGGGTTCAGAGCAGTCTGGTCTGGGGTTCAGCACAGTCGGAGCTTTTATCTCCTTCCTGCTTTGGAACACCAGCCAGGCACTCAGCCACCCCCTCCTCTCCGACTCCGTTTTCTCCGCGCACACCGCGTGTCTCCGTACCTTAGGCTTTTACAGCTCCTCCGCTCTTCCTTCTGGTTTTCTCCTTGCTTCTCATTGTAGAATTTCCAGTCAGTTGACTTTCCTGTAGTTCTGGGTAATGTCCATTTTATATTTTAGTTGTATTTTATTGAAATTGTTGTGTGTGGCTGCGGCTAGGTGTTTACCTGTGCAGCCATCTTGGATCTTCCCTAAAGGTTAATATTAAGAACTTTTTAAAAAGGCAATGTTCTAAGAAAAAATGACCAAGGAAACTTATTGTGTTCTTTTTATTCATATTACTTCCTCATATTAGCTGACCATTTGTGCTAAAAAAAAAAAAAAAAAAAATGACATGGAAGGAAAGAGAAAGATCAGGTAACTCATATTTCCTTTTCCTTTTAGTCTTTCTTTATTCATCAATAAACCTTAAGTAGAGCATATTGGTAGAATGAACACATATCAAGAAACCAAGATGGCAGCATAGGGTAGACACCCGAATGCAGCCTACCACAACAAATTTGAATTTAGAACTGAAAAACAGGGGAAACATCACCCTGAAGCGCCGGACAGCTGGCTGAGAGGAGGCTCTACCATCTGGGAAGGAGAAAGAAGGCACGTTGAACCTCAGGAACTGTGAAGGTACGGAGAACTGTGCACGCGAAAAGGCTGCCACCAGACTTCGCTGCTGGCTTGCTTACGGAGCACAGAGAGGGCGGGCCGAGTTCGCTGCTGGCTTACTCCCGGTGCGCAGAGTGGGCAGACAGCTAATGCGTGGCTGGGATTCTCCTAGGAGTGACAGACAGGAATCTAAAGCTTGTCTGCTCCTATACCAAAGAGGTGCGTGCGCCTGCAACCAATTGTGTGGGATTCAACAAAGCTTGTCTGTGCCACCCCGAGACTCTGCCCCATTCAAGCAGAATATAGAAACCCTCCTAGCTGAGACACTTATGATCCTCATAGCCAATTGGCTTGGAGATGAACACTTCCCAGTGATACCAACAACAAGCAAGGCTTAATAACAAGACTGCACACACAGCCCACAAAGGGCTACACCAAGACTGCCCACCTCAGGTAACTGGGAGGCTTATTCATTGAACCATATAGGACACCTTAGCACACAAAGCCACCCTTCCAATTTAGGGAAGCTGTGAAAATGACAAGACAAGGAAACAGATCACAAACAAAAGAAATGGAGGAAAAGAAGTGACTGGGTATAGAGTTCAAAATCACGCTTATAAGGTTTTTCAAGAATTTCTTAGAAAAGGTCAATAAGACCTATGAGGATGTGAAAAGGGATCAATAGAAATAATAAAGGATCAACAAGAAATAATAAGGGATCAACAAGAAATAATAAAGGATCAACAAGAAATAAAGAATACATTGTCTGAAATAAAAAATATTATACAAAGTCCTAAAAACAGAATGGAAGATTTCAAAAATCAAGTCAAAGATTTGGAACATAAAGAGCCAGAAGACACTCCTCCGCAGAAGCAAAAAGACAAGAGAATCCAGAAAGTTGAAGATAATGTGAGAAACCTCTGGAACAACTTCAAGCAAACCAACATCAGAATTATGGGGGTCCCAGAAGATGAGAGAGAGCAAGATATCAAAAACATACTGAAAGAAATAGTGACAGAAAACTTCCCCCACCTGGTGAAAGAATTAGACTTGGAAGTGCACAGAACTCCAAACAAAAAGAATCCAAAGAAGACCACAACAAGACAAATCATAATTAAAATTCTAAGAGCAAAAGACAAAGAGAGAATATTAAAAGCAGCAAGAGAAAAGCAGGTAGTTACCTATAAAGGAGCACCCATACGATTGTCAGCTGATTTCTCAACAGAAACCATGCAGGTCAGACGGGAATGGCAAGAAATATTCAAGGTGATGAATAGCAAGAACCTACAGCCAAACATAATCTACCCAGCAAAGCTATCACTCAGAATTGAAGGCCAGATAAAGAGCTTCACTAATAAAAAAAAAAAAAGCTAAGGGAGTTCATCACCACCAAACCAGAATTATATGAATTGCTGAAGGGAGTTCTTTTGGAAGAGAAAGTAAATAAAGATAAAAACTATGAACAACAAATATGTAACTATCAACAAGTGAATCTAAAAACCAAGGGAATTTAAAAAAAAATCTGATGAACAATATTAACTGGTGAATATAATACATCAGAGGTATGGAAGGGGAGTGAACTGACAATTCTTGGGGGGAAAAGGGAGAGGGGGGTGTGGGAAGAGACTGAACATAAACTGTGCACCTATGGATGAGGACAATGAGGGGTGGGGAAAGGGCAGAGGTTGTGGTGGGAACCTGGTGGAGGGGAGCAATGGGGGCGGGGGGGGGATAAGGAACATTTGTAATAATATGAACAATGAAGATTTATTAAAAAAAAAATGAACATATATCAAGAAGTGAAATAAAAATAGTCAAGTAAATTTTATGCAGCATTTCCACTGGTCTGGTAAGAACAACAAAAAACAAAACAAACAAATAAACAAAAACTACTGTATGTAAAAGCTACTAATTATGAATTATACAATTTTAGAGATTATATATAAAAGTTAAATGTTCTTATACTTGTATTTTATTCTGACATTGCATAATACAAAGATAAATGGTAAAATTCAAACTAATAATTTTCAGTTTTAACTTTACTTAGAAGGACATCAAACAGCAAATTAGAGAAGTCAATAGAGAGACCACAGAAGAAACAGAAAATGTTTACTTTATAGTTTAGCATTTTTCCCCCTGCTTTTTGAACAAGATGGAGCTCACATTTTTATTTGCACTGGGACCTGCAAATTATGTGGTTGTTCCTGCATGGCATGATAGTTCTGTGAGAAGTGAAAAGAAATGTTATGTAGAAAAAAGAATTTTAAAGACTCTATACAAACAAAGAGTAACACACAAAAAGCCACTAGTCACATGTGGCTGTTTAAATTTAAATGATATTAAATTAAAAATTCAATTCTTCTGTTGCACTTCAAGCATTCAATAGCCACAAGTAGCTACTGGCTACTATATTGGACACCGCAGCTGTAGAAGATTTCCGCTGTCACATAAAGCTCTATTTGACCGTGTTGTTTTATAGTTTAATTAGAGGCCCAGTGCAGGAAATCATGTGCGTGCAGGGTCCCTAGGCCTAGCCTGCAATCAAGGCCATCTTCTGCCTGCTCTCCAGTCCCCAGTCCTGCCATCCCACCACTCCCCAGTTCATCATTTGCCATGCTGCAATTGGATCCTGTGGGCGAGGGGGCGGGGGGGGACACCAAGAGGTGGTTAATGCACCTCATAGTGACTGGTCAAGTGGTCATTCCAGTCGCTATGCTTACGGTTGCTAGCCTTTTATTATATAGGATACTTTGTATAGTGCTAGATTAAACAACATTAATTGGAGTTCATTAATCCAGAATTTTTCTGAACCTTGCATATGGAAATGTGAATCTCCAGGAGGGGGCTATAGCATGAAATGTTTCCAAACTTATTTTATCAAAGCTTGCTTTTTCTGCAAGACAGGGAACTTACTATCATTTCTAAAAAGGGAAAGAAATATTTTTTAAGAATTTTCAATAGAAAATATGATATACGGTACATGTTATTGATGGATTGAAAAGTAGTTTGAATAGGTGGTGAGAATCTAATGTTATAGAACTGATGCTTCCTGGACTTAGTTTAGGAAAATTCTTCTCTGGAGTCCACTTTAGGTTATCATGTTGCCTGTTAACATTTTTGAGTCAATTTTTCATAATAAAAATATTGGTTTCATGAGCTACCAATACACACAGCAGCATGCATAAATGTCAAAAAGAATTACGCTAAGCGAAAGAAACCAGACACAAAATGCTACCTACTATATGACTTCATTTATATGACATTTTAGAAAACATAAAACTATAGGGACAAAATAAGATCAGGGGCTTTTGTCCAGAAAGAGACTGAATATAAAGGGGGATTAGAGAGATTGGGGGAGGGGGAGTGACAAAACTATTCCATGTCTTCATTGTGGTTCTGCTTACATGACTTTATATGTTGGCCCAAACTTTGAATTAAATTGTACACCTGAAAAGGGTGGTTACACTAATGTAAATTATCTCTCAATAAGCTGACTTAACACATTGCGCACCAATAGTTTTATTGCTAGCTTTACCCAGTGGCCAGATAAGTTTCTATTGAACGAGTACAAAAAAACATTTTCCAAAGTATCATACTTAAAAAAAATATATTAGCTTGTAAGAACATGTAATAAATAACTTCAAAATGCAATGGGTATTTAATTTTAAGGAGTGCCTTTAACATTTATCTAAAACACTGTGTAATATGAAAAAAATAGAATGCTCAGGATCTGCTTGCAATGTGTTAAAATACTTACATATTTATATTTGCTCTGCTTCCTGAAATGAAATATTAGAGTAACGTTTGATTACAGCCCACTCCCCTCCTTGGACACACCTCAAAAGCCTCCTTGGAAGCGCAGAGGTTGATGGATCTGTCAAGCTAGCTTTAAAATTCTGAGAATTTCTTGAGCCAACAAAATATGGATTAGGTCTCAGTGTGGAGAAGGGTGTGGTATGGACAGAGAAGAGCAGCTGAGAATAGAAGAGGACCAGGCACAAATAAAAGACAATGGAGGGAAAAGAACGATGTCGTGTTTGGGTGGCTCTGTACGCTCCCTAAACAGCCCTGGGTGGAAATACACCATGTGCCTCTTTGCCTCCATGAAGTTAATTGGGGGGAAAAACATCAGAAAATTCACAGTTAAAAAGAGCTGGGGAAAAGTATGTGCTACTAGAAGCTGGCTGGGATAGGAAGGAGGTAATGGCAGGTGCCGATGGATTGCCTGAGCCTTACACATTTCCTCCATTCTTCACTCTCTGGATTGCAAGCACTGCATAGTTCTAGCTAAAGAAGGAAGGATTTTTATAGAAAAAAAGAACAGTCCAGGACAAGGAAACAAGTCTGCATATGGCTCAGACTTTGTTCCCTGAGCCATATGCAGCCCCTAATAGCTTACCCAGACTCTTCCAATAAAAAGAGCTGGTGGGCAAGAGCTCTTTCATGCATTTCTTTCATAATTATAACATGCTAATTGATCATACCTTCATGAAGCCCACCAGCCAATCAGGAGTGAGTTTGCAAATTAACCCAACAAAGATGAAAGGTTAATTTGAATATAGGGGCACGGAGTGGCGGGGGGAGATGTGGGAATATTTCTGCCTCACCCCCGGTTGCTCATCCAATCCTCCGTAGCAAAGTCTAGTAGTTTCTAATAAACACAACTACCCTGTAAGCAAGCACTTCCAGTCCTCCGTGTTTATCTAAGAGAAATGAAGTCCCAGGCCCACAAAAGCACTTGTATAAGAAATGTTCCATTTAGTCTAAAACTGAGAACATTCCTGATGTTCACTAATGTGAGAATGAATAAACTAAATGTAATACATTTATACAACAATGTTCAACTCATAAATAAAAAGAAATGAACTGCTACATACAATAAAAAAAAAATGGATGGGTCTTCAAAAAATTATGCTGAATAAAATAAACCTCCGCCAAAACACAACATGACTTACCTCTTATACCTATTACAGGAAGTTCCAGAGCAGGCTAAACTAAACTGAGATGAAAAAGTCAGAACAGCAGTTGTCTTTGGGGTGGCAATGGGAAACTGACTGGGTTGGCAAACATGTTCTGTGTCTTCTTAGTGGTTTGAGTTACATAGATGTATGCATATGTAAAAAAATCATAGAACGATAAAGGTTTGTGCATTTTGCTCTATGTAAATTTTACTTTAAAATCTATAAGCAAAATATTAAACTCCAGCTATATGCATGCTGAACTGTTTATGGATCAGGCATAAAAATTAAGACAAATAAATATGTTTTGTTTTGTTTTGTTTTTAAATATATTTTATTGATTTTTCACAGAGAGGAAGAAAGAGGGATAGAGAGTTAGAAACATCGATGAGAGAGAATCATCGATCAGCTGCCTCTTGCACACCCCCACCGAGGATGTGCCCGCAACCAAGGTACATGACCTTGCCCGGAATCGAACCCGGGACCTTTCAGGCCACAGGCCGACATTCTATCCACTGAGCCAAACCAGTTCTGGCATAAATATGTTTTAAATAAAGAAAATATATAAAAAGTTAACATTTGTAGAAACTATATGGTGAGTATATGGGATTCCTATTGCTCCTAACCACCTAACAAAAGGGGGAAAAATTCTAAACCCTTCAAAAGGACACAGTATATTCTAACTCATATTACTTGTACAGTTTTTCATATAATGTCTGCTACTAAAAAAAATTAACTGAGGATTTCTGCTCTTTTGTTTCAATGTAGTAATAGGAACTGAATTAATCCTACACCGTGAAATAACAAAAAGATAGGCAAAATATATTAAGTAATGATTTTCAAGACCCAAAACATCAGGCAATGAGAGACAGTGACCCCTGAGAGAAGAGAAGCAAATGAGGCGAGCGCTACAACGGCCTCAGCCTACTGCCGTGGCAAAGTTCCCTGGAGAAGTGTAGGCTAGAACATAAGCAGAGCTGACCAATGAACTCTAGATGGAAGTACACTGTTTGTCTTAGTCCTTTTCAGACTGCTGTAGCAGAATTCACAGACTGTGAATAAACAATAGAAATGTACTTCTCGAAGTTCTGGAAGCTGGGAAGTCCAAGGTTAAGATGCTGGCAGATACAGTGTCTGGTGAAAGCTCACTTCCTTGTCCACAGGTGGCTGTCTTTTTACTGTGTCCTCATGTAAAGGGAGCTCTTTGGGGGTCTCTTTTATGAGGGCACCAATCCCATTCAGGAGAGCTCTTACCTCATGACCTAGTGATTGCCCAAAGACCTCGCCCTCCTAATACCATGGCATTGGGGATTAGGTTTTAGCATAATCATTTGGGAGGGGGACATGAACATTTTGTTTATAGCATTATTATAAGGTTCTTATCACTACAGTTAGACTGCAATAAGATGTATACTATAAACACTAAACCACCCACTAGTATAACATAAAGTTATAGCTATTATACAAACATAACAAGTTATAGCTAACATACAAACAAAAGAAGGCAGGAAGAAGGAAAAGATGGAACAAAGTATATTAAATTTAAATACTCTAAATACTTCAATTAAAAGGTAAAGATTTTCTAAGGTTGAATTTTTTTTAAAACCAATTAGTTTTATAAGAAACACACTTTAAACAAAAAAAGGCACAGGTAGGTTAAAAGCAAAATGATGGAGAAAGATATACCATGCTAACAAAAATCAAAATGAAATGGAGTGCATATTAAAACAGGCAGAGTAGACTTCAGAGCAAAGAATACTGTCAAAGATGAAGAAGGTCACTTCATGATCATAAAGAGGATGATTTATCAAAAGGGCATAACAATCTTAATATTTATGTACCTAATAAACAGAGCTTCAGAATACATGAAGCAAAAGTTGATAGAACCTGAAGAATAAATGGGCGTATTCACAAATAAAATTAGATACTTAAACTCCCTCTCTAAGTAACTGATAGAACAAATGGACAAAGATCAGTGAGAACATAGAAGATTAGATAAACACTATCAACCAATTTGGCCTAATTAATATTTATAGAGGACTTTATCTAACAACAGTAGAATAAATATTCTTTTCAAGTATGTCTGATCACACTGAAATTAAATTAGAAATCCTAATAGAAGAAACTCTGGAAAATGCTCAAACATTTGTATAAACACTTAAACACTTCTAAAAAAAAAACAAAAAAAAAAAACTAATGGGGTATTAGAAAGTAAGGGAAATTAGAAAGTATTTCATGAGCGTAAAACATGAAAATGCAACAAGAAAACAGAAGGATGAGAGGGAGTTGGTGTTTTTGTTTTTTGTTTTTTAACTGTCCCTTATTCTGATACGTATTAAAACTCATAGAACTGCCCACCACTAAGCAAATTAACAAACAAGCAGAGGTAATAAAAACTCAAACCCTATCCCTTTCCGATTATCTTACTGCCTACTGTTTGTAGCAGCACTTGCCTGGTTTTATAACCTCTTGCTACGAACGCCTGCCTTATTCCAGGAAGATTATGTAAACTCCGGGTTTCTTTTCACATTCTCATGGGGGCTAGAGGACTAAGAAATTACACACCAGAGTTTAGAAAGGGGGCCTACTAAGGAAGCCTTGTAGTCCTGACAGAGTTCAATACTCTGTACCCAGAATATGGGATTTATGAATGGTACAACAGTGCGACCAGACTTTGCTGTCCTGGTTCCAAAGGGTGAAACTTCAGGAAATCCTAGTTCTGGAGAAGTAGCCATGGTTAAGATTGTGGGAGCACTGGGAATCTGTCCCTGATCCCAATGAAGGACTCACACACAGCAGGGAAGGGAGCCCTGCTTTATTTAATTTTATTTTGTGATAGCTGAAGAGACTGATGATGATCATGTTACCCATAGTATCTCGTGGGAAAGGATATGCTAACAATTGACTTGCTGGCTTCTTTCCTAATGTCATTCATTAACCAATAACAAAGGACCTTTTCAAATTCCTTATCCCTGGAATATTTACAAAATTCTTATTCACATATTGCTTTGGCCTGTTTTGTGTGTTTTTTTAATCGTCGAATTTTAGTTCATATCCCCTAGAGAGGTCAGACTAGCTATAATGGGTTTTATTCGTATAGTCTCATTATAAAGCTTGAAAATGTTTTCTTGGCCTATAGCAATAATAAAGGAGAGCCTAGATTGTATTGTAGTTTTAAAATTGTAAATCTCTAGTAGTCTAAAGGGAGATAATTGTCTTTGCTATATGAGAATTAGGGGAATTCATAGCAGGGCCATTATAATTGTTTCTTTGATAAAAGATTTCATCTGTTTTCTTCCAATTTAACCAAACGACTGCTAAAACTCTCCTCTGGGATACATAATGTCATGAAATATAGACAATGCCAACTTTTTAATTAAAAAGAAAACTCAATTTACCAAATATCCTTGGAATGACAACTGATCTATTATTGTTACTGTGAAATGATTAATTAAATGAGTTTCACTGTTACCTCATTATCAAGAAAATTCTGCTGAAATGGTTCCTAATGAGCATTTCTACAACTCAAGGGGAGAACACATTCTTTGGATGCAGGAGAACCTATGTGTCATTAGGCAGTTTGCTTACACTTTTTAGATTCTATTTCTACATCTACTAAAGTAGGAATGATACCTCCTTATCAGGGTTTTTCTGTTCGTATGTTGTTTGTATTTT